TCATTTAAAAATACCATAAAATAATTGATTTATTTTATAAACTGATCATAGTGAAGTATTAAATAAAGTCAGTTATTTAACCGTATCACAATGTGGTTAATCGGCCATGAGTCGATAGCCCATCCCTAACAGTAAACGTGCAAATTATTTAGTTAATAAACTATAGATATTTACGCACTGGTAATTTAAAGTAAACGAGTAGATAAGTAATATTTATCGAGAAATTTCTATTTACGATTAAATGTGGACATTATTTAATAAATAAACTATATACTTACACACTGTTGATTTAAAATGAAAGAGCACAGAAGTAATATTTAATAGAGAATTCCATTCATAGTAAAATGTAGATATTATTTTATGACTAAACTGTATACTTACCCCCTGAAAATTTAAAATAAAGAATATAAAAATAGGATTTATAGAGAATTCTAATGACAATAAAATGTGTACATTATTATGAATAAACGATATACTTACATCCTAATTGAAAATGAAAGGGAAGTAATATTTAAGAGAATCTATCAATAATAAAGTATTACACTACGTATTTTAGGGAATAAATTATAATTACAATCTAGAATTTAATTCATAAGTGAAAGAGCAGAGACGTAATATTTAATAGAAAATTCCATAATAAAATATGTACACAATTTATAAATAAATTATATACATACTGACTGGTAATTTAAAGTGAAAGAACAGAAAGCCGTTATTAATAGAGAATTCTATTAACAAAATGTGTACATTATTTTTATGAATAAATTATATACTGACGGTCTAGTAAATTAAATTGAAAATGGAGAAGTAATATTTAATATAGAATTCTATTAACAATTAAATATGTTTATTATTTTATGAATAAACTATATACTTCTGCAAAGGCGCTTTACGAAGGAACGATGAAATAGTATTTAATAAAGAATTTTATTGATGATATATTATTTTATGAATAAGCTATACACTTACCTTCTAGTAAATTAAAATAAAAATAGAGAAGCAATATTTAATAGAGAATTCTATTAAAAATTAGATGTGTATATTATTTTATGAATAAACTATATATTTACAGCCTGGTGAGTTAAATTGAAAAAGGATAAAGAAGTAAATATTTAATCGACTATTCTATGACTATGAAGTGTGGACATTGTTTTATGAATAAATATACTTACGCACTGGTAATTTAAAATGAAAGGACAAAGAAATAATATAAATAGAAAATTCCATTGGCGACAAAACGTGTTATTAGTTATGAATAAGCTAAATACTTACATGCTGGTAATTTAAAGTGAAAACCAGAAAAGTAATTTTTAATAGAGAATCTGCTGACAATATATGTGTATATTGTTTTATGAATAAACTATATACTTACAAACTAGGTAATTAAAGTGAAGAAACGGATAATATTTAATAGAGAATTATATTTACAATAAAGTGTGTATATTATTTTATGAATAACTATATGCTTACATCCTGATAATTTATAGTGAAAGTACGGTGAAGCGATATTTAATAGAGAATTCTATTGATAATAAAATGTGTAAATTTTTATGAAAAGCTATATACTTACACACTATTTTAAAGTGAAAAAGCAGAAAAGCAATATTTAATAAAATGTGTATATTGTTTTATGGTAATCATATACTTGCATACTGATTTAAAGTGAAAAACACAGAAGTAATTTTAATAGAAAATGCTATTGACAATTAAATATGTACGTTATCTTATGAACAAACCATATATTTACATACTGGTAAGTTAAAGTGAAAGAACAGAGAAGGAATATTTAATAGAGAACCAGATTAATAGTGAACTGCGTAATTGTTACTATACTTACGCACTGGTAATTTAAAGTGTGAGAATAGAGAAGTAATACTTAATCGAACGTTAACATGTGACATTACATCATGAATAAACTATTACTTACGCACTGGTAATTTAAGGCGAAAGAGTAAATATTTAATAGAGAATTCTATTGACGGTAAAATGTGTGCATTATTTTATATACTTACACGCTGGTAATTGAAAGTGAAAAAAAATAGAGAAATAATATTAATAGAGAATCTATTAACGATAAAATATGCACATTATTTTATGAATAAACTGTCTTAAAAAATTCTGTTGACGATAAAATGTGTACATTATTTACGGATAAGTTAAAGTGAATAACAAATATTTAATAGAAAATTTATTGAAGATAAAATGTGTACACTATTTTATAAATGAAACTATACACTTACAGGTAATTTAATGGGGGGAAAGGAGATGTAATATTCAATAAAGAATTCCACCAGTGAAAAATGTGTTATACTCACTCACTGGTAATTTAAAATGAAAGATCATAAAAAGTGTTATTTAATAGAGAATTCTATTGACAAGGAAATGTATACATTATTTAGTGAAGAAACTATATACTTACAAACTAGAAATTTAAAGTGAGAAAACAGAGTGATAATGCTCAATAGAGAATTTTATTGACAATATAATATGTATATTATTTTATAAATAAACTATATACTTACGAACTATTAATTAAAAATGAAGAATAGAGAAGTAAGATTTAATAGAGAATTTTGTTAAGAACAAAGATGAATAGTACATTCTTCTATAAATAAACTATATACTTACTCACTGATAATTTTAAGCGGAAAAATATAGAAATAATATTTAATAGAAAATTCTATTGATGATAAAATGTGTACAGTACATCATTATATAAACAGACTATTTATTTACATCCTGGTAATTTAACATGTAAATAAAGAAAAAAAGTAATATTTAACGGAGAATTCTACTGACGATAAAATGGTATATTATTTTATGAATAAACGATAATTACCATCTATTGATCAATTTAATGTGTAAGTGAAAAAAAAAGAGCCGTAGTACTGATAAAATGTGTGCATTACATTATGAATAACCATATACTTACGTCCTGGTAATTTGGTATGAAAATAAAAAAGAGTAATAAGATTTTAATAGAAAATTTAAATTTGTACATTATATAATGAATAAACTATATACTTACGCACTACAATTTGAAGTCAAAGAAGGGAAGTAATATTCAATGAAAAATTTATTGATGAAAAAATATGTACATTATTTTAAATATTTACACACTGGCAATTTAAAGTGGATATAATGTTTAATAGAGCATTTTATTGACGATAAATGATATAGATCATTATATGATAAAAACATACGTCCTGGCAGTTAAAGTATAAGAGCAAAGCAATGAATAAAGTAGAAATATTAAAATATTATTATTTTGACAAAATAAAACTATATTTACATTCTGTAGTGGTAAACGCTAAAGTTTCGTTAATTACCATTGGGGTCGGTCAACTTGATTTAATAACCATATCATTAGGAGTACAAAGTACGTTAATAGAGTTATTTGCGCGGGTAATACAAACCTCTAAAAAGGAAATGGCCAATCAGAGAACACAAATTTCGGGTATTGTGCGAAAGAAAAAAAGAAAAGAAAGCGAAAATACTCAAAAACTAGTGTTTAAATCGACCTTTGTGGACTAATAAAAAATAACGATGATGAAATTTTATATATAAGAATCTCCAACTTATCCCTAAAGCTTTCAACCCTAACGTCCTAATCCTAAGCTTCTATTTTTACGCACTTAGTTTATTTACAAAACTTAATTTCCTTTTGGTTTGCGTTACCTGCGCAAATAAGCAAATCGTAGAGGATGATATTTCAAATGTGTGCCAATTTTGCATTGATTGAATGATCCATTCTCATGTCTTCGTCTTACAATTTCTATAATTGTATACGTTGTTTAAAATACTATTCAATGGTGCAAAAAAAAATGCGATAATATGCTATTTCTTTGTCTGGTTATCGATTTACAAATAAAATACTATTATTCTAGTAACATAGTCATGCGGTATGTGTGACTTTATAACCATCTAGAATGGTGTAAACAAAATATTACACGTCGAATTTTCCTGATTACATCCGTTTTCAAAAATTGTGGAAGATGCAGATCACTATACCATGGGGAATTCACAGATTTCCGGAGTTTTTAAGCTAATCGGATTTTTAATTTTTACTAATAGTTTTCCACAACTTTTTGAAAACAGCTGTAATATGTTACTAATATTCATTCAAGGGACTCACGAGCAAAAGTAAAAAAAGATCTTACATAAGAAACGTGGTTGGAGGCTTGTCAACAAAGTGACAAGGCGACTATTATTGCGAAATCAGATGACTATGTGTTCACGTGTCAATTTGTCGGTTTAACTTTTTAGGGATTTTTATGTATAGTCGGTTTGGCATATTGTTAGGTGCAGTTATTCTTTGTTAATATTGTGACTACATAAAATTTTACGTTATACCTCATAAATGTAGACCAATATTCAACTCTTTAGCTGACCTTATTTGGAAACATATCCATAAGGGACGTAATTAAAATTAGGTAACATAAGTTTATGAACTGCATGTATAAAAATTATATGCTGCAGAAAAATTTGAGCATTTGCATCTATTATGATAATTATTGCTTTATTATGATTTACTTATAATTCAAATTATATTAATAAAATAACCTGAGTTGGCAGTTAGAACAATTTAATAAAACATAATTTTTTTCTTTAAATTTTTTTTTAAAAATGATTTATAATTATTTTAAATTAATATTATTAGAGTATTGGTAAATTAACAAATAAAATATGTATTTATAATGAAATAGAAAAAAAAAGTGAATGGAATTATAATTTAATAGAACGAACATTGTAAAATTCCAATACAGAAAATAATATAACTAAACTCTCCAGAACGATAAATCCCGTTTTGCTCATTTAATGAAGTCTGAACATCTTAAAAATTTCTTTATAATACATAATTCACCCAAATCAAATCTAATACGCTTTTTCGATCCATCTATATCCTAAACATTAGTTATACAACGGCATCTTTGTTGAAGCGACTGACTTGCCGTATTAGAGTTTATCAGCGGTAGATGATGATGAATCGGATTCGACACTTTGTACATCAGATCGTTTAGATATTGCATTAGCATCGTAGGAGCCAAACCATGCAATATAACAAATGAACGTTCCAAAACTATCATCTCTAACAATATTAGGATCGTCTGATGGAGGATAAGAGTTGTTAACAATGGTTTTTCCATAACAATTTTCCAACATTTCAAAGTGAGGTTCTTTTACATCCACTGTGGTAAGCTGAACAATATATTTTCCCTGTGTTTCAAGAGGGATTGGTACTGAAGGACAATTGATGCTTTTGGTGCTATTGGTGCTATTGGTGCTATTGATGCTTTTGGTGCTATTGGTTCTATTGATGCTATTGATGTTCATTCGCGATTTACAGGTAACTAATGTTACTAAACAAATAATAAAGATTATGATAGTTTTAGAGAAATGTGCCATATTCGATTTTTAATAAGAGGTCGATAGAAAAGAATAATTAATAACAAGTGTTCAGTATAAAATGATTTAAACCGATTAGAGTGAAAAAAAATGAATGAATATTTATATGTGCTTTGAAAGAGCTTTATATTAATGAGTTGTCATAATGTTTGTATAACGTTTTATGGAGTATAAACAATTAAGCATTAAGTATAATGCGCAGGATCTGCAAATTTTATTGTATTCAATTTTTTACTTGTACTTCCTATAATTTACTAATCGGGCGTAGATTATTTGTAATCGAATATTATTTATGCAGCTATCGTCATCTCCAAAATTGTACATAAATGGTTGTTATATGCTCTAGTAAAACTTAATACAGTCTTAATACAAATGCGTTGTGACGGGCCATAAGTTAAAATTTGGCCAAACGTTCATTTTGAGAGATGTAGAGGCGTTGGTTTTAGGGAAGTAAAAACTAGAAGAATTAAATTAGTTGAGCCTAAGTGACAAAGTGCACTTAGGGCTTTTCATAGAGAGTGCATTAGGGTGGTTACATTTAGAGGTCTGACTATATTTATTGCAATGTGCAGTGGTAGCAACAGATGAGCTTATCAGGAAGTTTGGCAAATTATAGAATTTATTATTTTCTTATTTAAGGTATGCAATATAAAAAAATGTTTGCAAATACAAATAAGAAAATGTTATACCAGAGATGTAATTATAAACGAACTAGAACATGACCGTGCATGCATGCAGGAGGCTGCCTGGATTTATTTAAATTTATTTAAATTACTGTATTACGAATAAATTTGTAAAAGATTATAAATACGAATTGCTGGATTCAAAATACAGTGCACAGTACTTAAAAAGACAAAGGTCATTAAAAAATGGTTAAAATAATTGATATTTGAATATTAATAACAATTAGTTTCATAGCACGTCCTTATGTCAATAAGATAAGCTGTGATGAAAGTGGTTATGCATATAATAGTTAATATTAATATTGTAGCACAGATTATGCCAATAAGGTAGCTGCGCGACGTCATCGCGCAAAACCAGAAACGGGTATCTAGATATTAAGTTGCTTAAAATTTTAAGTTAACGTGAATAGGAATTTGCGATAATTGATCTGATATATTAAATTTAGATCATGTGTACAATTAGGGATGTTAGTCTGTTCGACTAAAATTGGTCTTGCGCTCTGTCTTAGGACTGGGCCAGTCTGATTTTTTACAAACGGGCCTTAATATATTATAAAATCATTTTAACAAACACATATGGGCTAATTTTGTGTGGTTTGTTGGGGTTAGATTGCGAGCACTATTGTACTATACAGTACAAATGCAAGCAGGGCACTATGCATCTTGAATTCAGATAAGACTA